GGGGGGGGGGTGTACGGGGGCACAGACCGCGGGAGGATCGACAGGGCCACAGCAGCTCCCAACGGATTGGCGAGAATGGTTGGCATGCCGCGGGCCCGGGCCTCCGCCGTCAGCCGGCGGGGGGGGGGGGGCAGACAGGAACAAGGATGCCGGGCGGCGCCGGGGGCCTCCAGCCAGACTAGCGGCTGGCGGTGAAGAGCGGCTCCAGCTGGAAGAGCTCCTTGTGCACGGAGATCAGGTACTCGCGGCAGGGCTGGGCCAGATCAGACCATTGGGCATCGGCCGCGGCACTGGCCACGTTGGCCAGCGCCTTCGGAAGATGCATGGCCTGTGGTCAGCCGGCGGGGCGGACGGGCGCGCGCGAGCGCGCGTGCACATGTGTCAGCACAGGCGAAGCCATGTCTGGGAGGAGGAAGGGGCAGAGGGAAGGAGGACAGGTGGTGAAAAGAGGATCGAGAGGCACGCACGTCGGAAATGTCGGCCGCAAGGCCCAGGGAGGTGGCCACACGCTCGGCCTCGGCCACCAGGCCGGCAGCCAGGGCCTTCTGCGCAGCCGACGACTCGAGCGGCGCAAGGACGGCCGGCATGTCGGCATCCGACCCCGGCCGGGCGACGGCCTCGACCAAGTCCAGCAGGGACGCCTGCAGGTCATTGAGGACCGCCAGGCCGGCCGCCATGGCGGGGTGGCGCTCGAGCCAGCCAGCACGCACCGGGGCCGAGGGGACCAGCGCATGGGCGCTGACCACCAGATACCCGGCATAGGCAGCGGCCTCGGACAGGCGGTGCCGGTCGGAGGCACACTCGAAGTCCATGAGCTGCTCCAGGTCCAGGGTCATGCCCCCGGCGCCGGGGAGAGTGGCCCCGGCCAGCCGGTCGGCCGGGCAGGTGGGCACCGCCGCCGCCGCATGCAGACTGCCCAGGGACTGGGCAATGGCGGCCGCCGTGGCCTCCAGGTCAGCGGTGTTGTCGGCGGCGTCGGCCTCCCGCAGGAGGCTCAGCTGGTGCATGAAGCGGCCCAGCTGCGCCACCAGTCGCAGGGTGACCGCCTCGCTCCAGGTGACCGAGCGCGCGCAAACGGCCGCATTCTGGGGAGGGGGGGTGGGGGCACCAGGAGGAGGGGGGGGGGAGAGAGAGAGAGCGTCAGGAAGGAGAGGTCAAGAAGGAGAGGCGAAGCAAGGGGGGAACAGGGGCAGGCGACGCGGCCGGAGGCGGCAGCATGGAGGCCGGCCAGGGCGCGAGCCACGCACCAGGCGCTGGTGGAGCTGGTCAAGCAGAGCCGGCAGGTCGGCAAAGCGCTCCGGGACGAAGGCGTGCAACACCGAGTAGGCCGCATGGTAGGCAGCGACCCAGTGGACCTGTGGCCAGCGGGAGGAAGGCCAGGCGCGAATGCCGAGAGGGAGCAAAGGTTAGCCGGATGGATGATGGGCCCGGATCGCCGGCAGGAAGGAGACGAGACGCACATCACGCAGGGGGAACACACGGGTGTCGGCATGCAGGTTGCCGGCCAGGGTCCAGTCGGCGAAAGACCGGGTGTCGCGATTGTCACGCATGCTGTAGAGCGCCGAGTCTGGCAGAAGGGGGGGAGGGAGGGGGGGGCGGTCAGTGACACCGGGCAGACCGAGAAACACGCAAGCACGCATATCTACACCGTAGACACCCGGCGCAGGGGGCAAGCCAATCGGCGCCACGGGGGAGGGAGGGGGGGGGGAGGGGGGGGGATGGCCCCACGCACCGGACAGCTGCACGGTGGCCGTCGGCAGGGAGGACAGCCAGCCGAAGCCCCCCTGCAGAGTAAAGTGGTCGGATCCGCTGCGGGAAACCGTCAGCAGCTGGCCGCGCACCGCCTCCACCGTGCAGATGTGCTGCTGGATGGAGCGGGCCAGGCGCCGGTGGAAGCGCACAAACTCGAACACCTTGCTGAAGGACTTCTTCTGGATGGCCAGCTTGACCATTTGCGACACCTCCAGCGGGGCGGCTTCGTAGACCCCCTCCACCGAGGCGAAGGCCTCGCCGGCCAGGCCGGAAAGGCCCCCGGCCCCGGCCACATAGTCCAGGGCCACATGCCCGGCCAGGGTGTCATTTTGCACCTGCCGCAGTTGCAGCAGACGCTCATGCCCATCGGCCGCGGTGTCGACAAAGCGCCCGTGCGTGTTCGGGCCCAGCTCCTTCGGGACCGCGGACCGGGTGCTGTAGGCCCGCAGCGAGCCGACATGTGCGCGGCGGGGCAGCCCCAGCAGCCCGCACAGGTGGATGGCCTGCAGCCGCAGACGGAAGTGATACGGGCTGTGGCTGAGGGCCGACTCGGCCACCGCCAGGGCCAGCTGCAGCAGGCCAGACCAGCTGACGGCGCCCGGGGCCCCGGTCGCCTGGGAGCCCGGCGGCCGGAAGCTCGGGCGCTGGCGCAGCCGCGGCCGCAGCGCCACCGCCATCAGCGTCAACTGCTGGCTGGCCAGCAGAGCCAGGTCATCGCCAGGGTGCAGATCGGTGACCACCATGCCGATGCCGGCCGGCCGGGCGGCCGCATGCTTCCGCAGCAGGGCCACCACCAGAGCCCCGCTGGCGGCGGTGTCCGCCGCCGAGGGCGGGTCCAGCAGCATGACCATCTGCCCGTAGGACACCTGCATCTCAATCAGGCCGAGGCTATCGGCCGGCTGGCAAACGGGGAGGGGGCAGCAGCGGCGGCGAGGTGCGGTGTGGGCAAGGGAAGACGCGTAGGGAGTTAGCTGGGGGAAGGGGGCGCCCGGGGGAGGAGGGGGGGGGGGGCGTGGCATGCGCGACGGTGTGTGCGGAGGCTCGCGGGCCCGGATCTGGCGCGGGGTACCTCGCAAATGGCCGCCTCAGTCGAAGTGGCGGCAGTGGTGATGGCGGTCGGGAAGTCCTCATCAAAACGGCACTCCGCATGCAGGTCCGCCAACAGGGCCGCCACTTCGGCCCTGGAGCCCAGCCGGTGCATGGCCTCGGCATACGGGCGGACATCCGCAAAGAAGCACGTGCGCGAGCCGAAGCGCCGGAAGTAGGCAAGCAGCAGACCATGCAGCTCGGCCAGGGGGGGCGCACTTGGGCCGGCCTGCCGGCGCAGCCACCACTCCATCCGGGCCAGGTGCGGGCCACGCAAGCGCGAAGGATCCACCGCGTCGGCCTTCAGCGGGACGGCCGGGGCCTGGGTCCGCTGCTCGAGGAACTGGCTGATCGTCTCGATCGAAGAGTCGACACTGCATGCGAGTGGGTGAGCGGAACCGGAAAAAAAAGAAAAGCGAGGCTGCGAGTAGAGAGGAGGGAGTGACGCGAGGGGCGAGGGGCGAGGAGCAATCTGAAGCCCGGAAAAAGACGCGACAGCACGCACGCCTCCCAGGGGCCATTCTCCGCGCCCGGGTTCGAGCCGAAGGCCGGGCCGCCGCACACGCAATCCAGGTAGATCTTGTGCAGGGACCAATCATCCGGCCGAACGCCGGACAGCAGGCCACGGGCAATGGCCGCAGCGCCGGCCAGCTGCCCAGCTTGGCGCTTGAGGTCGGCCAGCGTCGCCAGCCGATCCGCCTCCACCGGATACACGGACTTGGTCAGGGTGCTCGGGGCATCGAGCAGCCCGACCAGCAGGGCGGCCTTCTCGGCCGACAGGCACAGGTCACCTGGGGGAGAGCGCGACTCGGAGCTGCGTCCGGAGGCCGGCCGGCCATCCAGCACCATCCCCTGGCCATACTGGCCCTCGGGTCGAGACTCGGTCTCCAGGATGTCGAAGAGGAGCTGGAGATCTGGAAAGGGGGCAGAGAGAGCGGGAGAGGCGACGGGGAATCAGGACGAGATCGCGGTGCAGCGTGCCCCGTGCAGCGGGGGCGCGAGGGGGCGCGAGGGGGCGCGAGGGGGCGCGAGGGGGGAGGGGGGGGGGGATCAGACATACTCTCCAGGGTGCTCTTCTTGTCCTGTGCCACTTCACGCTGCAGCATGCGGCTGGACAGGGTCAGGGACATGGCCCCGGCGCTGCCGAGCGCGAAGGAGGCGCTCGGTGGGGCGGGCGCGACCGGCGCATCCCCCTGCTCCAGGGGCACTCCATCCGCCGGCCAGGCTGCCTGCATAAGGCGCCACTGCTCGCCGGCGAACTTCAGGAACCCCGCCTCGCGCGCGGCATCAAACTGCAGGTAGTGCGCCAGAACCAGATGCAGACGGAAGTCCGGGCTTGCATTGTAGCACTTGACCAGGTCGTTGGCGATCTACCAAGGACGAGGGGGGGGGGGGGGGGGAAGGGGAAACAGAGGGGGGCAGCCCTAGGCAGGGGGGGGGGGGGGGGGGGGGGGGGGGGGGGGGGGGAGGGGGCGGGGGGGGGGGGGGGGGGGGGGGGGGGGGGGGGGGGGGGGGGGGGGGGGGAAGGGGGGGGGGGGGGGGGGGGGACTTACCAAGGCGGATGGCTCGCGGCGGGCGGTGCGGGTCGTCATCCGGGTCACGCAGGAGAAAATTCGCCCCATACGGCGCGCGAACGAAAAGCTGAGCCGGCAGCCCTCCAGTCAGTGGGGGGAAGGAGAAAGTCCAAAGGGAGAGGGCGAAAGGAGGCGCATGTGCGAGTGATAGGAGGAAGGGGCGGAATGTGTGCGGGGGGGGAGGCCCCGCCGCCTGAAAGGGCGCCACATACGTCAGGGGCCGAGGAGAAGGTCAGCCGATCGAAGGCCCGGTCGCGGTCGCTGCACACTGTCCGATCGCGCAGGCCGGCCCCCGGGTCCCGGGACCGGGAGTTGAGAAACACCCCGAGCAGGGGGCTGGCATCGGCCAGCGGCCGGCCCTCGATCAGCAGTGCCGCCACAATATCCAGCAAGCCGTCGCCATCTGGCAGGGGCGGCAGGCGGAGGCAAGGGGAAGGAAGGCAGGACGAGCGGCGTTGATAATTGTCAGTGGAAAGACATACCGCGGGGGAGGAGGGGGCAGGGAGAAATGAAGAGGGGCAGCCGGACGGGCAGAGACACGATCGCCCCCCCCCCCCCCCCCCCCCCCC